TTTACCAATTTAAGAATGACAATAAGGTTTTCCCAGTAGTTGGAGATCTTTCTTTTGTGTTCCTCCTTTAGTCATTCATTGTCATAAGTTTAAATGTATAGAAATGACTCTTATTTTGCATTTGCAAATCCCACAGCTGCTGCTGATTTTATACTTTATAGATTTTGTGTATATCACCACTACATAGTATAAAACAAAGCCGTCCCGTTGTCTGTATGTTAGGGACATACAGACAACGGGACGGCTTTGTTGTATGCTTAGATCTTTAAAACTACGCAACGGATCTTGATGCGGTTTTCTTTACTAGATATAAAGGAAGGTTTATATGCATAATACATTGCACCCGTGCGAAGCCGGGGCGGGTCGCTAGTTTACAATAAAGCAGATAACAAGACTGCAGAGTTTCTTGCCGATTCTTCTCTGGGCAGGTTCAAATTAGTGAACCAGTGGCTGTGGACGCAGAGCATTTTTTACCCTGCCCTAACCTCTGGTGCGGTCTGTACAATATGTGGATAATATATGTGGTTTTCTGCCTGACGTCAACCATCTTTGGGAACAAACACCCAGATCATGAGCAAATTTCTGGGTGACACAGATGTGAAAGAATTTGTGCAGGAATCTAACCCATCACCAGAGTGCGTTATTATAAATTCATTATTTACGACATAAACATTGATTTTATGTTAAAACATTGAGTTTTACTCATTTAAGTTAAAAACAAAATAAAATTTCGCAACTGTTTACTGAAAACGAAATTTTAGAATTTATAAATAGTACACAAGCGATATTGCGTTGTCTTTGACGTCTTGTTTTACTTTTCTGAACTCAGATTTCGCTTAAGAAATTTAAATCCATCAAAATACAATTTTAAAAGGGGAAAATATTTAATGGAGGAGTACTGTTTATTCACTCTGGAGATAAGTGAAGGCGTTGATGACCCGGAAACATTACGAAATTTTTATTGCGGGCAAAAAAAAAATCTGGTTTGCGCGGCACGTGGCGTGTTCACACATTGTCAAGAAATATGGTATACTAGCTGCTGCCCGCGACTACGTGTGCGTAGAATAGGCTGAAGGAGTTACATTCAGACCGAAAGACAGATATACATAAAATTTGTATATAAATTATAGTATATAGTCTTTTTCTGATGTATAAATTATATTATTGTAAAGTTTCATTAAAATCCATTCAGTAGTATTTTCGTGAAAGAGTAACAAACATCCATCCATACATACAAACTTTCACCTTTATAATATTAGTAGGATTTGGGGTCATCAATATTTTAAGAGGCAATGTGTTGAAGCGTTGTTATTCTAATGTCAATTAATAATCTATGTAACGAAACGTCCAAGTCATCGCCGAATTATTAATTGTTGTTAACATAACACGCCGACGGCGTTACATGGGATCGTTATCCATGAATAATGCTGTTACATTTATCATTGATGCAAATTAAACGAACACCGCGAATATTTACACAGAGCTCTCATTAATTTAACGCGTGAACTGTTGTGTTTAAGGAATATGGATATTTTATCGTAGACGGTAATTTGTTCGGAACTGATTTTTATTACCGTGGTTTGTATATACCATAAAAGCCGATGTAGAAATACTTGGTATGTGTACATTTGGTTTCTCAGGTGGTTTTCAAGCAAGATTTAATCCAGGGCATGTGCTGGCTGAAAGTAATTTGAAGAACGAACATTTTTTTTTCATTTCTTACGTGCAAAAAGTGGTGTCGCCCTTTTCGGGTATACCCCAGTCAGCAGGTTATGTTATCTTATTTTATGGAATTAGCAAACGTAAACTATGACTATCTTATTGATATATATTTTATGAGGAAGATTTTGAATTGGAACAGTTTCTGTTTTGATTTTTGTTTACAATTAATGATCTGTTACAGCCCATAGGTTAAATATATCTTTATAGAATCATATAAGCTACTCCCTAAGAATTTTTCATCATAATTATATAACTACGTCAACTTTAAAGTATATCAAGCGACTTTCATGCGTTATTTCGTTTCTTTAGCAAGACCATTTTAGCTGTCGTTTTTTAGGGTTCCGTACCCAAAGGGTAAAACGGGACCCTATTAATTAGACTCCGCTGTCTGTCTGTCCTGCTTATTTCATGAATCGTTATAGTTAGACAGTTGAAATTTTCACAGATAATATATTTCTGTTTCCGCTGTAACAACAAATAGTAAAAAACAATAAAAAAAGAAATAAGTGGGGCCATACAACAGACATAATTTTTGTCTCGTTTTTATAGATTATGGTACGTCACCCTTCGTGCGCGAGTTCAGCTCGCACTTGCTGTTTTTTTATTTCTTTAACACGCTGGTCCTTTAACGGAAGTGATCGTAAATTCCATTGCAAGTTACAAGAAACGTAAGTGAAAAAAGCAAAAGACGTTACATGTTTAATAAGGGTAAATCCTTACCCACCCTTGTGTCATTGTGCGTAAAATGTTACATTACATTACCGTTCTGTGGCGTATTGAATAAATAAATCGATGTTTCCGTACAGTAGAAGTAAAGTGAAACCATTAGAACGCTTTCGAAAGGCTACAGAATCTAAAATCCAATTAACCTCATTGTCTACGCTGTTTCACGTATTGCTATACATATTCTCCATAGCTAAGAGCGTGCCTTGTTTCATTTGTAAAACTTTATCGAAAGCCTACTTTTTGATTTAGTGTCGCGGCCACGGAGCAACGTACGAACGTTTACTTGTATTATCAAATGAGGCACGCAACACGTGGCCTTGTTTTTTATATATTCCTAGCTCAGGTCCATAAAAAATCACTAATTGTCATCTTGCTATCGACTTGGAAAAGAGTAGGTAAGGAAAGATTGAACATGGCTTTTTATTCCCATAGCCATATTAAATAAGCCGTGATAGGTCATTCCCTCTATTCTCAACGCGTTCGCATTTAATTCAGTTTACTCGAGCAACCTGAGTTCGGTCCCAATAGTTCTGAGCCTGATGTCAGAACTCTTTCATAATACGAATCGAGAATAGTGTACAGACCTTTATTAATTTGAAGAGGCACTTTGATACAGGGAGTAAGAGATTAGACAAGTTTGTTCTTAAGTATATTTATTTTTAAAACATGAAAATAGTTTCAAATGAACGCTTGAAAAAATATATTTCTTGCCATCATCGTAATATAAAATCAACATACAACAACGTATCGTGTTCCACACAATACGTTGTTGTACGTTGTAATAAAATAACTTATGGTTCGACATAAGAACTTTAAACATGTAAAGTTAAGGAAATCACCTCTTTTGATGGAACGCAGTCGTAACTTTATGATGTAACTGTTTCCCCTGGGGTGTATTCCATCTTGAAGGCATAAATTAATGATATGAACTCGGAACAATGGTTTAACTTACAGGTAAAACTTATTTCATGTACCGACGTAATTTATTTACTCGTTGCGTGTATTAGAACTATAACTTGCTGCTTGTAAGGGCGAAGAAAAAGTTTACAATAAACGAAAATTTGTCCACTTCATATTCATTAATAAATTATATTTTCGTGCATTTATAAATTTATGTACACATCGAACCTCTAAAGGGGCGGAAAATGAAAACACGTCATATTAAACCAAGTCCTTAATCAAAGTTTTTTTTTAATTATGTCGTAGTTCCGCCTTTTTTATCAACCGACCTAAAAAAAGGAGGTTGACAATTCGGTTGTATTTTAAGTGGTACAATTATGAACCGATTTAAATTTGTTTTTTTCTGAATTTTGTTCGGTTTAGCTCTCATGTGATTTAGTGTCATCTTGCTATTGACTTGTGTAGGAGAAACTATAACTTGCTGCTTGTAAGGGCGAAGAAAAAGTTTACAATAAACGAAAATTTGTCCACTTCATATTCATTAATAAATTATATTTTCGTGCATTTATAAATTTATGTACACATCGAACCTCTAAGGGGCGGAAAATGAAAACACGTCATATTAAACCAAGTCCTTAATCAAAGTTTTTTTTAATTATGTCGTAGTTCCGCCTTTTTTATCAACCGACCTAAAAAAAGGAGGTTGACAATTCGGTTGTATTTTAAGTGGTACAATTATGAATTATATTATTATATTATATATTTTCTGAATTTTGTTCGGTTTAGCTCTCATGTGATTTAGTGTCATCTTGCTATTGACTTGAAAAAGAGTAGGTAAGGAAAAATTGCACATGGCTTTTTATTCCCAAATTAAATTTGTATGGCTTTTTATTCCCAGATTAAATCAAATACAAAAGGTACAGTGATTGAGATACTTGAAGTCGGTATTCTTTTCTATTCATGAATATTTACCTGTTCAAAGAAATACTACTATTATTTTCAAGTAAATTTTTAAGCATACGTCTGATGATGTTTAGCGGTTAGCACCAATAAAATCATACCAATTTGAAGATCTGTTAATCGTTTACCTCATCAATAATTTGCTGTGCCTTATTACTCGTCACATTTTTTAATTTTGGTTAAGGCAATAATTGTTCAAATAACATTTAATGTCAATAACGAATAGATTTTGATTTGGAAAGCATACAGGAAACATATTATTTCCGTTCACGAATTGAGTGACACACAGCAAAAGGTTTTGTCGGAACTCGGGGAATGTCCACAACAAAGGGCATCTAGGTGTCCCCTAGTTAAAAGTTTAGATGCGCCTTTTTCACAAAGTCGATTATGTTCTATGTGGACATTTTTTATGAACCATAACTGGTACATAATGTAGAGTTATTTTATATTTTTTCGTTATAAGAATATTGTGGTATATATTGATTTTTTTTTGCTTTGTTATTCGCTGCGATTATTACCTTTTTTTTTAAATATTTTAAATTAATTATGTTTTTATACAATTATTCCACATATAATATTAACGGTTGTACACTGATTTTCACTTAAATTAATTATTGAATATATAACATTTGTTTAAGTTGAATCGATAAGTAGAGAAACACTATATAAATTTTAGTCATGTTACATACTTATGAAGTATAAAAGTATTTGTCCCTTTGGTTTGTATTTGGCTCTTTATTCTTCTTGGGCAATCTTTGAGCTACTACGGTTGTCAGTTTCCGGTATGGGGGCAGTCTAGGCTTCTTGTTATATATATCCGGGCGTAACTCATTTTGCAGGATGACACCATTAAAAGGCGTCGGGTCGATGCATCCCTGTGGTTCTCTTCTGCCGAACAGCTGACACAAACTATCCAGAAGGATATCCGGTTCCATCCCGCTCACTTCGTTGTCTCTCGACAGTAAAACAGTTGGTGTCTCGGTAGATCTCAATCGGCTGAACTTTCTCTGGGATTCCTTCAAGTAATAATTGACATTTCTGAAAAGGCAGTTCGTGAATTTCCTCGAGTCGACAGGATAGTTGTATAGGAAATTCTCTCTTGGTTTTCCCTCCGCTTCATGTTTCAGGTAAGACGCTTGAAGGTAGGTGTTGCCATCCATCTGCAGGAGAATACATTTCCTCGGCCCCGATGCCATGCCCGAGTCTTTAAACTGGTAATCGACCCTGATTTCCGATCCTACATTTCCAACGATCCACGGGAAGATGTTCCTGAAGAATCTCAAATCATCTTCGTTGGTGAAATCGGAAAATATTGTGATTAGCCTTGAACAATTGATATTTGTCACTAAAGTTAATACGAGCACGACTAACAAGCAGTTTGGACAAGCCATTTTGCAACAATAATCCCAACAACAGGTGCTTTTATAGAATGATAAATAGCGTAAAGCACCTATTAAAGTATGTCATTATGCGAAAACGCATAACGTTTATATTTTATGTCGACATACATATCGGATACGGCGATAAGATAAACGAAAATGTAAGATCAAGTCGTGAGCTAATGTTTGCCTGGTTTTGATGTTAAAAGGTTACAACAGCATCCTTCATTATTATTTCAAGATTTTCCTTTGAAATTATCTTAGGGGCCCATCAACAAAATTGAACTTGGAGTTATTACTGATTTTGTATTAAGGAAAGGAAACTTTTCCATCTTCATTTTAAAACGGAACAATGTCAACTGAACTTTTTAACTTCTTCTTTTGTAATATATAAGTATACTCTATTGCTTTTTGATCTCTTGTATCTAGTATTGTATATACAAAATCATGTTTGGTTATTTTTTTCGTCAATTTTTATATCGTAATATCGATTTAAATAAAATATCGTTATTATCATTTCGAATAATTTAAAAAAGTTAACTTATGTACACACTTATTAGGTAGTGTATATGTATACGATTTTAATTCCGTGACCCTGTCTATAATCAATTAAGTGTGAATCGAACGGTTTTATTATTAACGGTTAACAACATTAAAATGAAACAAATAACCACTCTTTTGGTGCGGGACCTTTTTTTACTAAAGGAAACCTAACATATTTCTCAATAATCCATTTGCCGTTAAAACAGACCATTGATCCGGATTTTATCCACCATTTTCTGGGTGATATTTTTTTGGTGCAAATCCTAATTCTTTTTCTAGAATAAGTAATCTAAGTCATTCCTAATGATCAGTAATCTGCCAATGAAATTACCGTTACAATCGGTCTAGCCGGAGATAATCCGGAATGAACAGACAGTATACATAACGTGCAAACACTTATGTGTATTAAGTATTACAGATGTTATTTAGATATTAAATATATTTCTTTTTTCCTTTTTTGTCTCCGCTGTTGCAAGAATAAGAAAGTACCTTAGTTCTTCGCAGAACTTCGTAACTCTGTTTCGTCGTAACCTCACAGAAGACCAGTGAGAAGTGGAAATGTTATACATCTGCGGTTCGTCTGGTGAGTGCGGTTACCGGAGCTCACTTTACTAATCGTTGGTAGCGCAGCTGCAACCCTACGGGTGTTGCAAATGTCCATGAGCGACGGTTATCACTTAACATCGGATGAACCAGCAGCTTGCTTGCCATTTTCTTATATAAAAAAATGTACAAACAGGCGTTTAAATTTTATTAATTTTATAATAAAACCACCCCGCCCCGGCTTCGGATGGGTGCAATGTATGATACATATAAACCTTCCTCTTGAATCACTCCACGAGACCCTGGTAAAAAATTATTACAAAATGACAAATTTTGACAATCTTATACCTTTAAACGAGCAATTTTTAGAAAATGTCGTTATACCCCAGTTTTCAGGAAATGAAAAATATCACTTGAATACGACGGTAAATTTCACCGAAAAAAAATATTTTATAATAGTTCGGTCGGTAATCGGGCGGCCCCGAAACAGAAGGCCGTGGTTGGTGTCACGATCATTTACACACTTATTTTTTTACTTTTTTTTTTCGATTCCAGATCATTGCTTTCTTTATTTTTTAGTTTTTGTCGATCTAGATGATTTTGTTCTTTTTTCTCTTTTTTTTTAAGTTCTTTCTTTTGTGAAAAACACCAGTTCTTATTTTCTTATTATTACGTCGGTAAGATCGAAAAATATTATGCATATTTCATTACTCAGTAATTTGTATCTAAATGTACTCACTCAATTGTGTTCCCTTCCCGGAACCCCCTCCACTTACACTTAAACTTTATGGTATGGTATTAAAATTCAAATTGACTTAAGTATTAGTACGAATATTTTTGTATGAGAATATAGAAAAGTGTTATTTTTTAGAATTTTTCAGGTATTTTTTTAATTTTTCTCTCCGTACGAACCATCCTCGTACTACAAGGAATATTATAAAAAAAAGAATAAGTGAAATCGGTTCAGCTGTTCTCGAGATTTGCACTTAGCAACACATTCAGCGATTCATTTTAATATATATATATATATATAGAGTTGTCAAATATGATAGTTTGGTAAAGATTAATCCGCTATCTAAACTGTTGTAGTTATCTAAACTGCAATCAACATGTCCTGTCAGCACAAGACAGCTCAGCCTCTATTTGGAGATGGACAAACTGAATTGGATTACGTGAAATGGCTTCTAATGCACAACAGTTTGTTGGCTCTCGATTACTTGTCTCCAAGAGCGTTGTTAGGCCAGACATTCACTGGCCCGCAACGCACATACACAGGGTGACTTTTTTAAGTGTGTGTTGTCCATTTTTTTATTAAATTCTAGACATAAATAATGTTATATAAAAATGATAAATATTTTTATATATATAGTTCGTTTCAAAAGTATACGACGAATTTATGAAATACAACCGCATTGTCAACAAGTTCTGTTTTTAGGGAATGAAATGGCAATTTTGTTGCAAGAAAAGTTTGTTTTTATTTCAATAAACGATTATACTACCGAGTCCGGACCTCCTGTGTGAATTTGGGCATCTTTAGTAAAGACACACTATATAATAAGATTTTAACGCCCGGTTGCTGAAACACTGAACATCGTAGAAATTAACCAATCAGTTGTCAAATGGCTTTTCAATCAATTCGGAGAGTTTAAACATTCTTTTGGCAACTCAAATGACATTTGAAAAGCCATTTGACAGCTGATTAGTTGACTTCCACGATGATCGGTGTTTCAGAAACCGGGCGTAAATGTTTAAGGCGAGCGCTTTATTTATTTATTATTGTTATTGATAATAAGCTATTAAACTTTATCTTCGTTTAATGTTTACTAATTTTTTTTATATTTTTGGACAATGATTGGGTCATACAGATAAATCTTTTAGGGAGTTAAAAAAAAACTTTTTCTTACATTTACTACTTGTGTAAATCTGAAGTGAGAAGACGCAAATAAGTGACTTTTGCTCTGCGAGATCCTTTTTTGTCTTTATTGAATGACTTACATTTCATGGATTTTGTAATCCAGTTTCCTCGAGCGCATCGCTCGTAGAACAGCCGACCTACCCTACGACTGTCACGGCTCCAGTGACTTTATCTGGTGGCTAATTATTATTATTACAACTATTGTTACATCTGCTTATTGCAATGGTTGGTTGGCTGCGGCAGGTATTTTCCACTATGGGCCATCGGCGTTGAAAAAACAAATAAAAGGAAACTTATATTTATTATTATTCTTTTGGCGCGTTAGGGAAAAAATTTTACGATGCGCGCGCACTCCGTCACGAAAAATCGACATCCTGAAGTTAGCTTTTTTCGAAATAATAAAAAAATATTTCGAAGATATGCGAAGGCCACCTCTGTACAGAGAAGGTGTTTGCTCAGCAGTGGGAAATAAATAGGCAGTTTACTTTACCTTTACCCATTCTTGTCAAATAATCACGAATAGGGGAAAGACTTATTATCTGTCTATTTTCTATTTCTACGCAATACACTTATTACATTTTACTGTGGTTACCCGCATGCCTTCCTTCAATTAAGACATGGCAGTTTCACTTTTTTTGTACGGTAAAGTTTGTCAAGCGAGCAGTCGGCTTATCCAGATGCTTAGTGTACGTCAATAGACATCTAACATCCATAGTGATACCTGAGGGCTTGCGTTCAACAAAAAAAGTGGCCTACCCAATTTTCAAAAGTCTGTCAACCCATCTGCAACCCTCGGGTGTAGCAGATGTCCATGGGCGGCGGTGTTCACTTAACATCAGGTGAACCTCCTGCTCGCTTGGCAACTTTTCACTTAAACAAAAGGTGGCCCCTGCCTCACCCACTAGACTAAGCGCGAAAGTATCTACTTGCAGTTTACGCCGATCTTTGAGGCCGTGGTAATCGGACGAGCCTATTCGTACATCAGCACAGTAAATAGTATGTTAAGCTTATTTTGACATTCCATATCCGGCGCAGTAATGTACTCAATCGGTGAATAATAATTATATTGTTTTATCTAGGTTGGTCTCTAGGTTAACGTTTAAAAATAATTAAAATTAATCAAAACACAGAGAACTACTGCGTTAATGAAGTGACAAATTTGCTTTGCAGGAATCACAACGCATGCTCAACAAACTAGCGAAAAGCTTTAGACGAATCGGTCTCGATATAATATTGACGAAACAAAAATCATTTTTGATAGATCGATGGACCCAAGATCAATCACCATTGACGGCGAGCACCTCGAATTAGTTCTAAAATATATTTACCTTGCTCAAAAGCTCCTGATGGCTCCTGGGTAAATACGATTTTTTGGAGGGAATTGACCATATTATTCAGTCGAGTTATAGTTTGACAAACTTTACTACACCCCGTATCAGGTAATGACACAAACTGTAGTAACACAATTAATTTGAAAAACGATAACATCGTTTTTCTTAACACATTTGTTATGACTTATGACTTGTTCTAGGGGTAATTGCTTTCTTGTAATTGGGACAAAACTTATATTCACGAATTATAGTTAGTCAAAGAATATAGTTTATCAATGACGCTTTACGTCAAGTTCAATGCCACAACTCTATTTAATGTTTATTATTTTCATTGAGGTGCATCAAAATTAATTAAACTAATTTTTCGTTTACTAATCTGACCTTAATCTACGAGTATTAAAAGATAACTTGACATTTTTTTGAATGAAAATGAAAAATAATAAGTTGATGGCAATTTTCAAAACAGTATATTCATTAATAAAATTGTGGTAACAATGTCTTTACCCAAATATTTGAAAACAACTTAGTTTCAAATCGATTGGCTTTTAATTTATCCATCTGATCATCAAAGTTAAAGTCAAAGTGAAAATTTCTTTATTCAACGTCAAAAACTACCTAAATTCAGCCTAATGACTAAAGTAAACAAGCTTTATAACATCAAAAAAATAACACGTCCTTGA